AAGGGCATGTTCTTTTTGCCCCTTGTGGCTGAGGGTTGCCTTTAATGGTTGGGGGCATAAGAATTGCAGCTACCGTTTAGCCCTGCGTGGTCGTAAGAGGCAACTAAATGGGTTCGAATAACTGGAGTCTATGCATCACTTAGCTCCAGCAGGTGAGGTGGTTCTGAACCCTTGTGTTGCTTTCAGATTTGTAACACCTTAGCTAAAATCATCTTTCCTGCCATATGTCCTGTACTGTGTTGGTGCACCGTGAAATCAGATCAAATAGAATTTGATATTGAATTTCTTCAGAAATATGTTTTCTTCCCATCAGATGTAACATTAGAACATAGAATTACTTTAATACTGTATTTGCAGGCTAAGATACATATTGTTTGTTCACACAAAACTAAAAATGACCATGGTCATAAAGTGTGTAAGAAATGATAAGAATATTCACAATTAACACCACCCCGCAATTAAGACCACTTTGGTCCAGTCCCGATGGTGGTCTTAATTGAGGGTTTTTACTGTACTTCACATTTTTAAGTACTTGTATATTCAGTTTAAACACTGATCAAACAATACTATGTTTTAGTTTATTAATTAGTTATCATCATAGGAATAGTGCATGTCGTCCATCATTGTGACTTAATATATTACACAATATCATCTTTCCTGTTTCGGCGCTATACGACCTTAACTGTGTTGGTGCGCCGTAAAACCAAACAAAAAGAGAAAAAAACGAGTTGATATGTTTAATTAAATACTATATTGCTGAACATTGCTGTCGTATTTTTGAGTATGCAAACTGGGCATACGTGTATGCACACGGAGAATAAAACTAAACAAAACGAATGTCGTGGAATCGTAATGCATACATTTCAAGTTGATGGACAATAACTGGTAGCGCTAGGGTGACATTGTACTAACCTATTTTAATATCACTAACATTATTATGATAACAATAATTATTTCTTAATGTTGTTAGATGTAAATAAGATTTCATTTTAGAGGATTTATCATTTGTTGTTTAAATAAAATAGAAAAAAAAGAACATTTGATAACCAAAAAATAAGTGCGTACAATGCGAATATTTGGACTCCATAAATAAAAGTGTTTTAGTTTAGGCGATGGTATTTATATAACAATTCATAACCTATGTCTGTATATACATTGTATCTAAAATTAATTTGTTTTAATACTAACTTTCTGATATAAATTGTTAAATTCCCATTATCAATCATTTTTGAGTGCTTTGCAAAGGTGTTTTCTTTTCAAAACATAATGTTTGTCATTTTTGAACTTTATTCTATTCTCTGGTTGACTTAACTATAGTAATGATTGATTTATACAATTACAGTTTTGACCTTTGTTTCCGGGGTTACACTTTTACTGTCACCCCTTGCATTGTCTCACACAATGCTATTAAAAAATAAGCAATAATGAGATCCTACTTATAACTTATGCATCACATATTATTATTCGTACAGCATTTATGTGATGGATCTTCTTCGTGCTTAACGTTTCGTTCGGCTCGAAGTTTAATACATTTTACACCGACGAATTTGATGAAAGTAATACAAAACGTATGGTTTTTTTATTGACCGTTTATCCAATGTTCCGTGACGTCTTTTTTTTAAACGTTTAACAGTTTAATGAGTCGACAATGACAAATCTATTCTTTGACACCTAATTATACGAACTAAATGTGGGGAAAAAATCAACATGTAATGATGATAAAATATGATAAATGATAGTTCTCTTAACATTTTTACCACCAAATTTCAAAAGCCTACAATTCGCTGCTCTTTCAAATTTGTATTAATTTATTGAATTTATGAAATAAACGCGTGCACCGGATAATTTAGTGATTATTTATTTTGTTGCAAATGCAAGAATGATTAAATTTGACTAAGACCTTTGTGCAAATGCACGTGCGTGTTGTGAATTTCTTAAGGATAGAAAAAAATATGGAGTCTACGTCAATTCGTAAAGCATTGACAATAATTTTATTAGTGTGTTTGTTGTTTGTTCTGGTTGTTTTCTGTGTTGTTTATATTTGGAGCATTAAATCATCAAATAATCAACAGACAGTGCGGAGTGAACAGTACAGTGATAAACGTAACGCGGAGGACACGGATACAACCACGGAGCATTTACATTCGCATAATGAACATTCAGATGCTTCGACGACGACAACAGCGAGGACGACATCAGTAGCAACAACAACAACGCAACAAGCATCAACAACAGGTGAGTAATATTGTGGTGTTTCGCATTTTCTTTGTTTCTTTTGCTTCCTCTTTGCTTGCTTCACTACTTTAGAGATTGACTTCAAACCACTTGCCCCTCACCGCTGTGGGTTCGAATCCCGACAGGGACTTTGGATTCTTTCTTGTGAGGAAGCTATCCAGCTAGCTTACGGAACGTCGGTGGTTCTACTCAGGTAACCGTTCGTGCCTGAAATAATGCACGGAAGGGCACATGAGTTCTTCCTCCACCAGTAAATCTGGAACGCCGCGATATGACCTATACAGTGTCGATGTGACGTAAACCTAAAACAAACAAACAAAACTTCAGAGATGTCCACAATGACTTTAAAAAGTATTGTGCGTAAGGCCCTGCAATGTGTATAACCTCCATTGCATGGGTAATTAATGTTGCTAACTTTGAATCACTCGCCCACTTAACGGTAAGGGTTCGAATCCCACCTGAGACAACGGTTGATTTTATGTTTGTATGCAGCCAGATAAATTGTATGGCATTTTATGGTCCAGACGTCCAGATTATCTGTCATGGTTTAAATACGACAAAAATGAAGTGCTAAACATCTAAATTAAATTAAAGATTAATTGATTTTTAAAAGTAGCAAAATATATGTTTAAAATATTCGTACAACATCAATATTTTATGTTTGATGGTACAATGGTATAGATTAAAAAACTACAAATAATTCAAAATTAAAAATTAAAATTAGCTTATTAATAGGTGCAAAATAAAATTAATTAAAAATATTGCTTTGTCATATTTCAATAAACATTGTAAGCTAAAACTATCCTAAATTCTCAGTCAAATTTTTCAATAAGAAATGATTGCATGTAATTTATTGATTAAATATAATGTGCACAAATATTTGCAGTACACATTTTACATATTCTTCGATGTTTAAAAATTGTTTTATTTGCATACGTATATACATATATAAGTTTTTGCAAGTATGGTATACACACAGTAACAATATCAATCACAAAACATACAGGATCTTTAACTTTTAACTTCATAAAAGAATTGTCGTGTTTACCACAATGTTTTGTGGTTTAAAACTGACAATAGACAAAAACCTATCATCTAAATTCTTCAAGGAGGCTTTGTATGATATGCAGGCAACCAAGCAATTTTTATTTTACCCTTTTTTGGTAAATTTAATCACATCTAAAAACATTTGACGTCATATAAGAACGTAATTTGGTCAACCTCGTGTTTGATTTTTCCTCGTGAAAGTATACAAGGCATGTATTTCTAACTTGAAAATAAATGCACAGTTTAAAGACAGTTTATGCGAAAAAGACTCCCGGAAATCTATACTTTCTCACTTTTCGAAAGGTATGGTTAATTAGACGCCTGTAAGAAAGACAATTATGATTTAAACAGCTCAAAAAAGCGACGTAGGAGTTGTTTTAAACATTCATTTTTATTGGTGTTTAATAATTTCTACTTTTTTGTCATATGGCAAGGCCTAGATTATTTTTACCTACATTTCATAGGCATATTGTTTATTTAAATGAATTGTTAGATACACACTATTGAGGCTAGTTTATGCAAAATAGACTGTCAGAATTTTTCAAAATCTTATTGGAAGCAAAGGGTAGGGCAAAAAGTACTCATTTCACTGCTCTCTGCACCGCATGGCAGCATTGCATTAACCACACTGTTGATTTATTTTTTAATTCTTCAGAAGGTATTTAGGATTCAATGTGGAAAGGCAACTTCAAACGAACTTTAATACATGTAATTGACTATTTTATTACCAATAAATGACAAGGTGTCATAATTCAGACATATTTACATATCACTGTTGCTTTTATCTCGAGAATGGTATAATCAGTTAGATGACTAGAATGGGGACCTTCAAACACTCACTGAGTGTTGAGTTTAAACACAGTGACATTTAACTAATTTGATTCAATGAAGTGGGGGAAAGTTATGACTTGAATACAATATTTTTATTGTAATATGATAAGAAATTTACATTATATTTTCAGTTTTAATCTATCAAACTGTCAACTTCTTAATGAACTTTGAATTTTTTTATTGTAATATTTTCAATCTGGTATTTCAGATATATGATACCATAGTAAGATATTAAATTATTCCAAAGATCAATTTTGGTGCTGTAGCTTTGTACAACATAAGATGTATGTAATAAAGCGACCATAAGCTGATGAAATTATTTTCGTTTTTATTTGTAAACGCATACAATATTTGATTTGTGTACGCGTGTGTGCGTGCGTGGGTGGGTGTGCTAGATCGTCTGTAAGAGGTTGTGAGGGCATGTGTTTGCAAACACTCATCAATGATTGCCAAAAGTTGGCTAATTATCTAAATTGTTGTGCGTATATAAAGACATTTGCTATCCAAACATTATTTTCCTCTTGATACAGAAATAGAATCTTAAGTATGCAAATAAAATAAAGAAAAACGGAATCCCTAAAGAACGACCAAAACTACGAAATTGAAAATATTGCAGGCTCAGTTTGATTGAGCCTGTTCGTGGATGGTACTGGAAAGTGAAAGTTACCGTCCACAACCTCTAGCACCGGTTTAAGCAAAATTCAACATTTAAACATGAAAAGACGCACGAGAGCGTGTAATAATGTTCCATTGAAAACTTGCAAACAAAAATTGGTAATAAACAGGAAACAAGAAATCAAACTGGAGACCCCGGCCCTACCCCCCCCCCCCTTTCAAGCACTTAATCTAATAATTTTCATTTTTATTTAGGACCTATCTATCAGGGTTCGTCTGCAGTGATCACTTTAGCCATGCAGATGCTAAAGTCGTCTGCAAAGAACTTGGTTTTAAAAATGGCCTGGCTTATAACCTAATGGCGTAAGTAAAATTGCCATAACTATGATAATGTCCTTAAAGATATAATATGCTCATCTTTGGATAATATGCTCATCAAGGAAATTCTTACTGAATATGTCTAATATAAGAAAAAGCACAAACTATGTTTAGGAGGTGCATTCTCTATTACAGGTCAAGTTCATTTGGTCTTTTCTTTAAAAAAACTGTTGTTGTTTTTTAAATGGCACTATGTATTCATAATGTGTTTTCAAATATCAAATTTGAGCATAATATATCTTTCATTTGTATATTTATATGGATAATTTATTTGTAAATATTTGACCAATATATTCATCGTCTAATAATATTTTTTTTATTTCAAAATCAGATCTCAATCTTTGTCATTGTTTGTGGTTAAATCCAGTTAAAACTGGTTATCAAACTGAACAAGAAAAAAAGCAATGCCACGTTATTAAAGATATAATTAATTGTAGGTGTATTTGATTTATTATATAATATGTTACCGAAACGCCGGATTGAGTATTTTCTTATAAGTGTATTTCCTTGTTAAATTGTAAAACAATTTGATAGTTTTATAGTAAAAAAAAATGTTTTCACCACTTTTCAAAATTAAATTTGCTGGCTCATTTGACTGAAACGTTAACGTCTGTTCAAAAACTGTTGTTGTTTTTTTTTATTTTATTGTTGTTTTTATGGTGTTGTACTGTGGTTTGTTAGCGGGAGCGTTATAAAAATTATTGACATTAAAATGAAGTATATCTTATGTTCACGAAACATTAATACATTTCACTATTGATATATAACATTGAGCTCGTATTCACAATGAGTGATATACGTTGAGTGATGTATGAAAATGTATCTCGTGTATAAAATCAAACAACTTTTGATTAAACTCTTGCATAAATCAAATAATCGTTATCAAAAAAGGTTCGATTAAAGACATTGCATGATGTTCTCGTGAGCAAAAAGCGAACCAAAGTAATTTTTCAATCGTAGCAAGAATAGTTCTCGTGTTTTGAACGTTATGCACGAAGAAATTATATATCCGTCACAAAACCTCTTTGGGCATAGCGGAAACACTCCACATTTCAAATCGGACATACCTATATCTACGCCCACATTGACATGGTAGTGGGGAAAGGCTGGGAGATTCAACTTGGTATTTTCAGGACCACCACCACCCATCCTTTCATCCCCACTCTCCCGCTTCCGTCCCAGAGGAATAAGGGATGTGATTACAAACGAATGCATTATGCACATTGTACATGTGTACATTTAATAAGTAATTTTCTGCACTAGCAGTCCTCAAACAACCTACATCAATCTTGATAAACTGTCTGGATGCATTTTCATTGATAGATCACCGCATCGCTATCAGAATTTAACACACTTACCAAAATGTTCAACAAAAAAGCATACAAAAACAAACAAGCATATAGTGATTTAGTGGCTAATATGCCACTTAATGGTATTTGTTAAAAATATATATAGCCCCTTAATAAAGATGCAGTACTTATTGTGATTGAGTTAAATGTTAAAAGGATATTTATTATAAATCATCTTTATACGTCGAATTTTAGTTCAAGGTCAACATTACTTTGATAAAAAAAGTTAAATGAAGGAGTCATGCATTTTATGTTCTCTAAAAATCTAAAAACGTTTTGAATAAAAAAGTTTTTAAAATGTGTGAAACAAATGAAAACACGCTCGGAAGTATACATCTTTCTATCTTATTTATATATCTTAAAATTAATTTTTTACCATCTAACTGGAATTTGGACAGTTTTTATTATTATTATTATTATTATTATTATTATTATTATTATTATTATTATTATTATTATTAAAAATATCTACGGAGTTATTGGCCGTGAACAAAAAATAACTTTTGGCGGGCTGTATTAATTAATCCAGTTTGCTTGTTCACATAAGTATCACCCCCAGTATTGAGTATTTGTTATAATACGTCATTATTTTGACATCTCTTTTATATGTCACAGATCGTTTCCATACAGCCGTTACACAGAAGATGAGCCGATTCTTTCAAATTTGAATTGCATCGGAAACGAGGCCAGACTAAAAGATTGCAATGGTTTCCGGTTGGATAACGTAACTTCCTGTACGTGGTTTGCTGCGGCACTTTGCTACAATAACAAGCGTAAGTTTTCAACTGTGCTTTTTATTAACAAAATGGTATATTTAAGCCCAAAAAGCTATATCAGACCTTTTTTCTATCATGTATTAAGATTTTCATGTAGATATATAGAGGACATTAAATGAGTGTCGGTTCAAAACTGAATTTATTGAACGTCATTAATAGAATTATGTTATGCGAGCCTCTGGCTAGCAAATTATTATTTTTTTCAATGACTTCAATAAATTCAGTAATGAACCTACGAATATAATATTCTATTTACTACATATCGAAAATTAAAGACGTTTAAAGTGAAATAGAATCATTTTTCATTGACATGCCTATAGTGTAACGCTAACATTTAGCGCGTCTGTACAACGCAAAAGACATCACCTTTAAATATATGCACGGCCGTGCAATACCATTTTTACGGAAATGCAATTTAAGCGACACGGGTGTGTGATCAATCCTTTTTAACCACTCATATGAGAGCAATAAGGTGATGCTTATACATGTTATTTATACTTTGCTAGGAAAAAAAACGCTTATGAACTAATTGTTACGAAGGGTAAAAAATACATGTACCATATTAAAGTATATTATAAGTCTATTGGATATTGTGTATGAAATGTAATTATGTTTAAAAAATACGTATATCCATTTCAAATATTCACATTTGTAAACAATACATGAGCAAAATTGTTTCATTTTGCGCAACTTTTGAAAAAAAAGAGTAAAAAACATAAAATGTTTCTTACTAACATTTTCTAATTGGCGCAATGGTACAATGATAAACCGGATAATACACCACTTTGCGGTTGTATGCTTATGATTACACGTACATTTTGATATACTGTTAATCACATTTTATGTATGAGTTTACCATTTTCAGCGTACGAGCTACGCCTGGTAAACGGTATAAATCCGGATTCCGGCATGGTGGAGATGAAAGTCGGCGAGGAGTGGGGAACTTTGTGTGCAATCAGAAATTTCGACGATGACGTGGCTGATATTTTGTGCCGTAGCATGAACTTTACCGGCGGTTTAGCAATAGACCGGGGAATGCTCGGCGAGGCAAGGTTAGCTAAAGTCTGGTTGCCGTACATTTCGTGTACGGACGGAGCGGACATTAAACATTCAATATTGGAATGTAGTCTTATACTAAATACTGAAGATATTTTAGTGGATTTAATGGATCACAGAAACAATAGATACAAAAATGAGTATATGGCATGTTTAAGTAAGCCAAATTCATACGCGTCCGCCGTGCAATGCCTGATATGAGCTGCCGTGCATTATATAAAGGAAAAATGTACGATGAAAAAATGTTCCAAATGCACAGGTAGAATTTCTACCTACATTAAACATTAGTTGTAGCTCTCTTCTAAATCAATTTGAAGCATTTGATGCAAAAGAAAGTTTTTTTTCAACAAGATTTTTTCATTTTCAATTGCATTTAAGTTAAGTGATCCGAGATAAATCAACTCAAATGGTACATGTACTTGTATTAAGGAACTATCTCTTGGAATATGTGAAAAGGCATTTCACCTTCTCCCTTTTTGCTGTGATTTTAGAAAGATTTAGAAACATGACTTACTTTCGGAAAGATGTTTGGGGCACCAA